CATTTTTCAGCATGACAGCTTAAAGTCCCTGTAAAATTGTAAATGCGTGCATAGTGCTCACTTCCATAAAGTCAAATGCCATCTCATAAAGTCTAGTTGGATCCTGTCAGTGACAGTGACACAGAATCAGTACCTTGGAGCATTAAAATTAATTTGCTTCATTTATATTACTGCGGTGATAGCTAGATGAAAAGAGTCCTATATTTAAATTATCTTAAAAATACCTTCAAATATTTTAGGGGTTTTTATTATTATTATTTTACAGTTAACTAAATGTAGTGAAGCGCAGCATAATATTTTCATGGGCCTTTTAAGAAGGTGACTACGAAATGAGAAAGTAGCAAAGGGGAAAGGGGTGGATGTGGGAGGCTATACTGTGTGCAAAGCTGGAGGAAGGATTAAATGGCTCTCAGTTGTGCAGGCTACTAAAGAAACAGTGGCCTTTGGCCAGGGCTGATACACCACAGCCTTGGAGCCAAACTGGAACACCCTGGAGCAATGGGGAGAGCAAAGAGGGCTTTCCTGTACTGGACTGTAAGAGCAGTCCTCTCCCTCTTCCTTGCCCTGGCTGAAGGTCACGGGTACACAGTGTTTCTCTTGCTAGTTGTTCCTCAGGTTTGCAAAGTGCTTATGTGAAAGAAGGAGCTGAGTGACTATGCAAACAGGGAGAAAAATGAAATGTACTCTGTATCTTCTCTTGGCTGCAGTGGGACTGTGATGTCAGTGCCCGCTGCCTTTAGTGGAGCTTAGTGATTTTAGTGGAAGCACCCAAAAATTACACTGCTGCAATGACCTGAATCAAAGGTCTTGAGAAGCAAACTTGAGGAGGCTGGAAACATGGGAGTGGAGAACAGGAGGGAAGAGGAGGAAGGAAGAAAATACAAATGGAAAAAGAGCCAAAGAGCAATGAGGAAGATGGGAACATGCACTGGTAGGAGAAACATAGCCAGGCAAAGGGGAAGAGGGAAATTTGGGTTAAAAATGCTCTTGTTTGAAAGGGATATCTATGGAATGATCTCTGTGTTTCCTCCCTTCTGCTACAGCTGTCTGTATTCCTGGTCAGGTGAGGTGCTGCTTTCTAATCCAGCTGGATACCACATTCCTTCTTTCTTTGGAGGAGGATGGAATACAAACCTTACTCGTGCCTGTCATGATGTTTGGTCAGCTCTGATCAAAGAGATGGACACACATTCATGCAATAAAGCTCTTTAAAAGATTTTGGCAACTCAGTAGCTTGTTAAACCCCAATTTGAGCAAAGCTGCCCAACTTGGCACCAAACCATAGAAAAAAACTTCATCATTCAGGTCTCATGATATGTTGTGAGAGTCTTTGGCAGAGGAGTTGAATTAGGCTGCTGGAAGCCTGAAACTTCCTAAACCACAGCAGCATGAATGGGTGTTTGTGGCATGAGCCTTCAGACCATGGCAGCAATCCTGAACTTAAGGAAATGATTATCTGGAAACTGATAATGCCAGTGTTCCTCCTCCAGTGCCAATCAAGATGAAGACCCACAGAAGTCAGTCCACTTACCCTGAAATGCAGATAAGTGAAAACAAAATCCTTACAGGCATTGTTCTTTATACATGTGAATGCAGCCTTAATGCTCCAGATGGCAAATAAATACCTGAATAATATTGGGGCGTGGGGAAGCTGCCATGTACTTTTGAGGAAGCTGAAGCCTCAAGTAGTGGTCTGGGTTTTTTAATGTATGTAACTTGATCTTGTGCAGAATTTTACTTGCCTTGGACTCAGTGTAGCTGTCACACTCCATTGGCACTGGAAGCAATATGCTATAAAAGATGAGGAAAAGAGCAGTGAACAGACCAAAATAAGGATAACCATTTTGCTTAGCACCTTCATTCATCAAAGATTTAAACAAATTTCATTTATTCTATTAGTTCTGTCATAGCCATGCCTGCTCATGTTACTCCTGTTCCAGTCAGTGTTTTTGTTATAGCTGCTCCTAGTGCTAGTTCATAATCTCAGCTTGAAAATGCATAATGGGCTAAGATTCAGCATACAACATCAGCCCAAGCATTACAATGTCACTTTTCTTCCTTTGGCTGGGATTTGATTTTCCTTTAGTTTGGGTTTTCTTGTTGTTTTGTGTTTCATTTCTTTCCCTTGTGTTTCATATATATAAGAAAAATATAGGTTTGAGGTTTTCTAAGAGAAGGGAAAGTAACTATTAAAGCACTAGTTGGATGTTTGCATGAGTTTTATATATTTGGAAAATATTAGGAGTCATACTGATGCTTTCAGTTACTACATATTGCTACTAAAAAGTTTGTACAACATTTTAAAAAATAGATAAAATCACAGCTGTTTTGTTTTAGCTTTATGATAATGTTACTGACACAAGCATTTGTGACTATACCATGTGGATCTCTGTCATGAAATATTTTCTGAGAGAGTTGCAGACTGGCTGAGTTGGAATTAAAAAATCAGAAAGTGCCTATTGAGGCAACAGGGCTTTTTCAATTTCCATTGAACTATTCCTTACATGCAAAAATGATTATTATTTCTTCTTTTCCCCAGTTAGCATTTCCTGGTAAATAACAGGAACTTTAATTGCACATTTAGTAGCTTACAGGAACCTATTGTTGTGACATGTATTTAAACAAGCTGTGAATTAAGAACCTCTTTCCACCCAGTGATCTAATTATATTGTCACACTAATTATAGTATTTTGTATTTATATTTGACAACTTTAATTTTCTTTTCCTAGTTTACTGAAATAGCTTTTCTCTAGAGAATTTACCTTTTAGGCTGGAATTTCTTATCTTTTCTTTCAGAAAACGTACAGTAATCTAAAACGTGTCTCAGTCACTTTGGGTCCAATCTGTTCATGTCTCTACCATTAGCTTTCTGTGTGATCTTAGGCTGGTCATTGTAGTGTTTCTGACTCTCTGTAGGAGCCCTATTCTGCTTAGTAAAGTGGTTTTGGATCTGTGGATGAAATTGCACTACCAAAACACCAGGTACCGTCTTACACACATAAATATAGCAAGTTCATAACTTGAGACTCTCATATATTTTTCTGAGATTAGATAATGGGAAAGGACCCACAAGGGTCAAGTTGAGACTTGGAAACAGGCAATAAAACCTTTATCTGTTTGAAAAAAAACAGAATGATGGGCATATGAAGTAAATTATGTGTCTTGGTATAATGAAAATGCCCATTTAATTTCTATCCAAATACTATCTATTCCCAAGCCCCAGAAATTACTGTTAATAATAAACACCCCTATGGTGTGATAGGTTCATGATGTTTTGAAGGTAATTATAATACTAAAATTAAGCATGCAAACCCTTATTTATTTGATTTGGTCATTCCCTGGAAATATCCCCATAAGTAAAGGCTACTAGCATGGGGATGAGATTTTTAGTGGTGTAATGTGATGAAGCTAATAAAAATAGTTACAAGAAATGGTGCTGTGGAAACATGAAGATTTCAGCAAGCCTAGTCATGTGTCAGCAATAGTGGGGCACTAGTCAAGTGGGAATATTCAACAAATAAGCTGTTTGCTCACATAGAGGGGAGGCAACTTTCACAAAGGGAAACCTGAAAGGGTGTTGAGGACGGGAATCTATCCAATATATAAAGAAAAGTTAACATGAATGTGGCAACTTTGGCTGAAACATCTGCTAATGGGGAAATGGAGGGGCATGTGGCACAAAGCTCAGCTTTTTGCCACTGCTGAGAAAGGAGACAAGGCAAGGCCAGGTTGGATGGGGATTTGAGCAACCTGGTCTAGTGGAAGGTTGTCCCCTTGGCAGGGGTTTTGGAACTGTATAGTCTTTAAGGTCTCTTCCAACCCAAACTGTTCCGTCATTCTATGGGACATTCAGATGAGCTCTGTGGAAGTGGTGTTTAGTCTGCTTCACTGCAAGGTTGATGCTGGCAGAAAATTCCGAGAATGACGTTTAGGATGAGGGAGAAAATAAGGTATGTTCTCAGGAGGCTCCTGAGGAATTCCAGCTACTCTTGTTGGTGACGATGCAAATATCTGGTCAGGCAAGACAGAGCTGGTTGCAGGTTTTGCCCACACCTGCACTTTGTGGAGCATGGTAGCAAAGTTCCAAGATTTAAACAGATAATTTTGAACAATACAGTGTTCAAAGTAAACCTAATCGGTTTCATTACTGGAAAACTGAATGACATTTAATTTTACTTATCATATCATCAAGCAGGAAGATTATGCATGGAGTTATCTAAAAAAATTAGCACTGTGAAGTGCAAATTCAAGCTCTGAGGAAAAATGGCCCATCTTTAGCTCTCAACACTCACTTCCTTCTGCATCTGCCAGCTTCGTACTGCAGCTGCTGCCTAACTCTTCCCAGGCATGAGCACTTCTTATTGCTCACTCAGTTCACTAAACCTTTTCTCTCTTGTGCTCTCTCTCTTCTGAAACACACAGGTAGAGCAGAGATGTGAGCACTCACCTGCAGAATGCATGAATCAGTCAAAGCAGGGAAGGCTGTCATTTGGGTGCTCACCAGCTGGCAGGGAGTGTGCCAGGAAAACATGACCCTTCTCCAGTGGTGAACAGACTGAAGAAAGGTCACAAGCAGGAGTCAGGCAGGTTGGATGGAGGACAGTCATGCAAACACAAAACAGCACAATGTGAGGAAGTAGTAAATAAGCAGTAGGGAACTATGCTCAGCAACTGAACAGTCACGCTATAGCAGAATGTGTTGTGTGTGAAGCCTGCAGCAGCAGTTTGACAACTATTAGCATAGTTAGAAAAGATCTTTTATGGCATTCCCTACTCCTCCCTTTCCGCCACAGAACTTTCTCTGCTGTGTATTTTTTGTGTTCATGTTCTTGCTGGTTTAGGTTGGATTTTTTAATATATCAAACTTCTGAGTCTTCATTTGGTTTCTTTTGGGTTTCTTTCTTTTTTTGGTGAAATGTCAAGGTAACATAAAATGCTTTGCTTTTATCTGGAGCTCAAAGACAGAGCTAAGTGTCTGTCTCCTGTTTTTCTGCCTGCAGGGATTCCCATGCTGAAGATTGTATTTGCAGGTTATGAGCACCTGTCCTTAATTTCTGTCCCCTTGCTCATCTATCATCCTGCTCAGATTCTTCTTGGCAGCCTGTTGGTACCAACGATAAAATCCTGGATGGTTTCTAGGCAAAAGGTAAGAATTCCTGGATTTCATTTATAATGGAAATTGTACTGTGGGGAAAAAAAATACCTGAACACAAGTCCTAAGCTCCTCAGGTTCCTTCTTGGTGAAGGGATTTTTCTGTTTCTTTGCTTCCCCTATGACAGTGATAGTCAGAGCAGTATCAAATTAAAAGTGCTGAACTTTATTCCCCTTTGAAAAGGGGGCTGAAAAGACTCTGAAAAAATTCAAAGCTTGAAGTTAGACCTCTATACTTAATTCAAATTAAAAATTCATGCAAATTATGAATTCAGAATATGCCCCATAAAAATGGATCCACCTTGAGCTAATTGTCACAGCTTTAGATCTCCTTTATGGAGAAGTGACAAAGAGATGTCCACTGTAATGAGAGCTGGGCAAATCAGATAAAATGAGGGCACTTTCTGAACTGGATTGAAGTAGGATGAAAACACCTTTTAACTTGGGTCACCCTTTTGCAATAGCAAGAAGTCTACAGCAGTCTAGTGCATCACATTTCATGCCAAAATTATGACATGGGATAGCTTGTAGGATTATAGGCTATAACCTAGAGGGTTTGGCACCAACATCACTGATTCAAATTATGCTTATTTCAGTACAAATTGAAGGCATTGATATCTGACAGCCATTCTGTGATTTATATGAAATAATTGCAGTGGTTTTAGTTGGATTCTCAGAATAGTAGTAACCACCTTGCAAAAAGCTAGTCCATGGAATAGATTTTAATGCTGTCTTTTTAATGTTCCGAGTTAATAAAGATCAAGCCGTGGCAACTGAAGCAGCCTTGACAGCCAGTTTCGGTGATGCTTCATAGTGTGGGAAGCCCAGCTTCACCAGTACCCCACATTCTCCACTTACCAGTGTAGAAATTTTATTTATAACTCTCATATTTCCAATTTTCAGCGAAACCCAACAGGCTGTCATTTTACTAGCTTCACTCCACTAAAGTAACCTTGCTAACCTGAATGCTAAAATTCTAAAAGTCAGTGATTTTCATGTGTTACCCGAACTGTACAAAGCAGGAAAACTCAGTTTTCAGGAGCTGAGTTCAGAAATCAGAACTTTTTTTAGATATACTGATCTTAGCCTCCAAAAATGGAAATTTGAGAGTCAAATATCATTTATCCAACCGTCTGAAAGTCATGGGTTTTCTTTTAATCAGAAATTATCAGGAGGCACTTCAGGTTGTATAAAGAAAATTCCATGCTATTCCTGCAGAAAGATACCTAAAATTGATTCAATGACAGAACAATCCCTGCAATGATGACTTCTCTTCAGCATGTCACTGCTCTCTACTGCCAAAACCAGGAGTGGAGCTGGAGTTCATCCAGACCTCCCTGATCCTCAGGGCAGTAATGGCCTTTAGGGGCTGCTGTCAGCTGCTGCAAGTTAAAACAGCCTTTAAACAGAGCATCAGAACAGTCAACTAGCACTGGAGAGATTTACAGTTCACCAGCACTAGTTTCTTATTCATTAAGCATCAAATAAACCTCCTGTGCTAATCAGACTGTAATGCTACTGTAGAACCACTTTGGGGGATTGTTGTTCTGTTGCAGCAGTTTCTTCAGTTGGTCTTCTGTATTATTCACAAATGTTATTTTAATTACTCTTTGAAAAAAATCAATGAGGTTGGGTCTGGTACAGTTGCAATAAGTATAATAGAAGTGAATGTTTTGACTGGATAATGGTCTCCCGCTTTGAAAATAAACATGTCATCATCACCCTTGATGTTTATTTTCTACAAACACCTTGGCTTCATTTTGGCATCTCTCTTGCAGGGGGAGACGGTTATCCAGTCACAGTACTCAACTGCAGTGACATTCTTACTTAATTATGATAGTACATGTGATCTGGTTGTATGAAATTGAATTTAAATATTTAGAAGTTCATCTACACTAAGGTATTTCTAGTTTGTAAATATGGCAGCAGAATCTGCCAAACTACAAAGTTAAAAAATTGTTTCCCCAAACAAAATGTGGAATGATGTCTCTCTCCAAAGTCTCTTGCTGAATAATATCCAAAAGACTAATCTCAAGTGGCTGGATTTCACAATAGTTAAATGCTGGTGTTTCTGAGGGGAATATAGCCTATTTATTTTTAAAGGTTTGGATTTTTTTTTAAGGGTTTACATTTTGCTGGAGTGATTTTCAAGCAGAGCTTACAAGCTTTGAATGCACAATATTAAAGGTTAATATCTACAATAAGAATCCCCATCAGACATCTCTCAGACTGAAAATTGCTTGTTTAGCCAACCCACTGGAGATGAGAAGTCTCACCCTTGACAGACAAATGCCAGTTTGTCAGGGCTTTTCATCCAAAAGACTTAAGGAAAATGGAGGTCCTAAATTTTAGGAATTTGCAGATGTCAGTGATTTCCCTCTCACTCAGGCCAATTCATCCTGCACAAGAAAGCACCAAGTTTTTTTGTTGCAGAGCACACCAACAGTCAGCATCCTTCAGAGTGACCACATTGGTATACAGGAGCAGCTGAAAACCTAACACCTTTTAAGCCTGTCACATTTCTCTCCTAAGTTAGAGAGGCTGCTTCCTCCAAACTGGAAGCATGATCATCTGTCATTGAGTTGAACTTCTGTCTCACACTGAATAAATAGCTTAGCTACCGCAGTTAGCCAACTCTGTGGGGAAAACAGAGCTGGACCCTGCCATCAAATAAAGGCATGGGGTTTTTCTCTTCTTCAGCAGCAGTAGACTACAGCTACAAAATCATCAGGTGTCCCCTGGCATAAGATCACCTCAGGACTGGTGGATCTTGGCTTATTCCTCAGGAAGGAAGGTATAAACGTCGAGGTGCATGGCATCCACCACTGCAGCAGTGACTATCCTTTCAGCAGGCTTCGAGCCATGTGGAAGGAAGCCAGGGAACACAAAGGTGTTGGCAGAAATTTTCTTTGCACACTTTCCCTAAACGGGTCAGAAGCTCTGTGCTGCAAGTAGTTTGAGTGGGCTCCAAATAGTTGCTTTCTAAAAGGCATCTGAGACCCATCTCCTCTTCCATCTCTGGTGCTATAGGCATAGCCCTTGTGGTTCCTCTCTGAAGGCTGTCTGAGTATGTGGAGGTTGGGATGGGCTATCAGAGACAGAAACATCATCACAGACCCCAGAGTGGCCTGTCAGCTCCGTGCTGACTCCTCTCTCAGCCTCCCAGAAGTACATGCAGCATTTCGTTGCCCCTTATAAATGAAAATCTTCTCTTGTGCTGTTGGTTGTCTTCTAAAAATATAAAGAGTGACTGTTTTGTTTGCTGTTCACAGGCACTGAAGTTAACCAGGCAGCCCAAAGCACCCGTGAAGGTATAATTGTGGAGATGGCCTGTGTCACAGTGAATGTATATATGTACTATACTGTACACATGGACAATTGAGACAACTGGGTTTTGTGAATGTTGCTTCAGTGCATATTTTATTTTTATATATATATATATATATATATTAAAAGATACCTGTTAAGTGCCTTACAGATGCATTTTTGGCAAAAGCATTGTTTCCAGAAGCCACTGCGTTGGTTACTGCAAGAGGTTGTACAGTATTTTGGAGTCTTTAGTTTTTTATTTTTCTAACCAAGTGAATGGTCATGACTGACAGCTGTTTCTTCTGTTGCCCCTGCTGTGAAGCCAAGGTGCACCAGCTGTAAGTCTCTGTTTTAAACTAGCCAAAATGACCAGAAGCCTATCCCACTGCTGGCTTACCATGGGGAAGAGCTTTCTGAAGGTTTTTTTCTGAGATTGACTTGAATTTCTGTGTGACTCTGTTACACTCCCTAGTCATATGACTGTGACATGCCTTTTTCTTCTGAGTTTGTGTATACTCAGCATGGGGCCATCCATTGGATAGAAGCTGAGAAGCATGAATCATTTGCATTTGTTGACACAGTTGTCTAGACATTCCTTCAAAGTTAATGGTTTCTCAAGAAAATTCTTTTAATTCCATTGTATGATATTGTGCCATTGTATGTCTTAAATGCCTCATAAGCTTCTTCAAAGAAATGGTCTGGTGCTTGGGATCTGAGTGAAGTATTTGTGTTTGCAGCTAGGAGATCTTTTTGTAATTTATCCCTGAAGAAAACAAATTTTTTGTTTCCTTTTTTTCCTTTTCCTTCCCCTGGTACAATGCATGGAGACCTGCAGTGACAGAATTTAGGATGCTAATATTGAAACAGAGCCTTTATTGTAGTATGCCAAGCTATGTTTTCTTTATTGCTGCATTGGTAATGAATAATACCTTGTGAGGACAAGAAACTTGACAATTATTTTTTTTTGGTAATTAAAAGGATCCTTAGAGTAACAGAAATGCTTAGCTCATTTGACAATCAACCACAACTTTTTAAAAATTATATTACTCTTTTTAATAAACTTACATAACAAAAGAATAAGAAATACTATTTATAAGAGAAGTGTTGAAGAGAAAGGAACCCAGGCATGTATTTAAACATATAACCAGCAATGCCTCTTGTCTGGATAGATTTCAGAAACGTACATAGTCCAGACCGGGAGCTGTACCCATGTGCAAAAAGTGTGCTGGCAATGGTGCATTAAAGTATTAAAAGTAATTAAAGAAATAGGTCAAACTTGGATCAATATAAATGCAAAAGTTCCACGTGTGTCATGGTTAACACTGCAGCTAATGGTGCAACTGAGTGCAAACACCTTGGAGCAGATCTTTAGCAAATATAAATTACTGTAGCTCTGATACGGCTGAAGCCGCTTACACAAGCTAAAGATCTTTTGTGTGACAATAGGCATGTGAAATTCATATCCTTTTGCCTTAGTGAAAAAATATTGTGCTTGGTTTACCCAGTCTGTTATTTCTAGTCTGTTATTCCTGTGAAAAACAGGAAAGTAATCTGGTACCAATCCTCGGTGCTTTACCAGACGGTCAGTCTCTGTTGCCGTCTGTGTGAGAATCTACGGGGTGTGCTGACAGCATCACCCTGTTCAGAATTGTCATCACCAGTAAAACGACCATGTGACAAAGGTGTGGGAGGTGGCAGCATGCGGAATTCTTTCATTCCCTGGAGGGGGATCGAACTCTCCCCGCTGAGCAGGCGAGAGGGCTGAGGGACGCTGTCCAGCGCCCATGTCCCCCAGGGCTGTGCTCTCTGCTCACTGGTCAGTGATGAGATGGGCAGTGGGCAGTGAGCTTGTGGATTTGATCAGTGCATTCCTAGATAGCACAGGCAGATCCACCTCTGGGGAGCTGGAGAGAATAGCATGCATGTGCTTGGGCCAAATTGAAGGTTCCCCTTCCCTAAGCATGTTAAGTGGTTACTGGCTCCATATGGGAAAAAATTCCTTTGGGCTTAAAAACCCTGCTTGCAGCAGGGGTCTGCTTCCAGACTCAGGACAGTTTCCTTTTGTTCTGTTTCCATAAACCTGAATTTCCAGAGTATATAAAGATTCAATCCCAGTCCCACTGAAACTGATGATTCTTTCTGTTGGTTATGAAAGGCAGAACAACAGGCCCAGAAAGAGTGTTCACTTCTTCAAAATATATGGGAAGAGTTCAAGCAGACAGTAACTGACTGTGGCTGTGTCAATGCTGAATAGTCAGAACACTGCAGGTACCCCTACTGAGCTACCTCTGCGTACTGAATCTCTGACTTTCAGTACATCCAACAACTTGCTTATTTTCCACTGAACACATCCTTTGTTTTTTGTTAATTTTTTTTCCACATTTAAGAATATTTCAAACTGTTTTGTGGTGTAGCTTTGTTGGAGTCTTTACAAAGTCCTTTTTGATTGCTCGGAGCAGCCTGAATATTGTGTATGAGCGTTGGAGGTGTTGGTCTAAAGGGAATATAAAGCAAAACTGAAATATGTATTTTAAATCCATACTTAAACTTAATTATGCACATGAATTTTGTTATGTTTAAAGACTGTTGAGATGTTTGTTTTATGACTTGTTATATGTCTTTAATAAACAGAATGGTTTTGAATTTAATTTTGTTAATAGGAAAACAAGATAAAATTACTGATCCTCTAGGTCAAATTTTACCTCTGTTATCTATGTTTCATTCTGTTCTGGGTGAGCTTTTAAACTGTTGGCTTGTTTAAAAAAAATCCATGAACTGTATGGAAATATTTTATGAACTTGTGGAAAGAAAGTCCTCAGAATATTGCCAGTTGTCATCAACTGAAAATTAATTCATTGAACCCAAACAATTTTTCAGGAAAGAATTAGAACAGTTCTGAAGTATTTTCCACTTCTTGGCTTTAAATTTAACCATTATTAAACATAATCAGGCAAAACGAGAGCTTTGCCCAAGTTAAAACATGAGGATTTTCTTGAGCATCAACATTTCTTATTTCTGCATCTCTACAATCCCATCTAATGATAGCAGAGGTAAAAAAACCCACCCAAACAAGAAAACAGCACTTCAGAGGTCACAGGGAATGTTAGCACTTTGTGTTGAGTTACTCAAACATGTTATTTCCCTCTTTTGTGCGCTAAATTGAAAAGCTTTTGGTGACTCCAGTAATTTATCTTACCAAGATAAATAATTTTTAATGTACTTAAAATCAAAAGTGTGGCTGTGTTTTTTCTTATAGATCCTCTAGTTAGTGTGAATAAGTTATATGACAGAAAGGCAGTCTCAGCAGAAGCTGCACAGTTGTGCTTGTTCACAGAGCAGAAGGAGAGTAATCCAGCAGCTTGGTTTTACAGAAGTAGTCCCCTATGTTACTCTGGCAGTCAGGGAAAAAAGGAGCTGTTAGTTTTATTTGTGTACGGTTTTCTGTGGAAATATCTTGACAGCAGGAGGTTAGAAGGCAAGATGAAATATGGTCTGTCTGCAAGCACATTGATTTATGTGCAAGTGCATACGTGCATAAGAGATGAGCAGTTATATATGTAGAAATGACTAGAAAGGACCAAGTCCCTGGTATACATTTTTTTGCAAGACTGCATATGGAGAAAGAGCTACTTTTTTTTGATGTTATTCTGCCATTAAAAGTAAAATTTCAGACACTGAATTGTGTTTTGTGTTGAATCATAATCTCATACAGAAGCTTTACCGCAGACAATCGCAGCTTTGTATTTGTAAACTAGACTATTTTGCACTTAAATAGATGTTAATGCGTTTGGGAATTACAGCACAGTAAAGGGCTAAATCATAGTTTCTCCATTTCATTATAATCCAAAAGCATTTTTATTACTATTATTATAAAGTGCCAGAAACACAGGCAGTCCCTCGCAAACACGTTAAATAGACAAGAGACTAAATTCTGCCCTTGGTTACACTTGTACATCTCCAGTGCAAGGTTGTTAAGCTGCAGAGCCGTCTCCCCAGGGAAGCTGTTTGAAGAGCCCTGCCATTGTTCTAACAAAGCTCAGGGATGATGTAGCACATGATGAGAGTAAATGAAGAGTACTTTACTTTAGATTTGGTGGCCTGCCCTCTCCGGCATCTTGCAAACTGAATCTCTATTTCTGGCTGCGTATTTCCATGGATAGCCCCGATCTCCCAAGCATCCTGTCAGGACAGTGTCAGACAAGGGATTTTGTCTCCTCTTTGCCATTTTCTTGCTTCAACCACGTTATCCCTTGTGATAATTAGACCATGCCTTCTTTGAGGAGGCATTTTGACTTCAACTCTTCAAAGTTTACATGAATGGTTCCTGTAAAATTCTCTCATTCAACAGAGGGCACCCTGCAGGATGGTAAGTAATCTTCTGCAGTCACATGGACTAGGACTTACCAATGGCTTTAGCTGTGAAGAACAAGAGAAAGCAATGCTGAGAAGTGCAGATGTGAGATGTTGCTCCAGGCAGGTCTGCTTCCTGCTGGATTTTAGGTGTAGCAGAGGTCATGGAAGCAGCCTCTGAATTGTTCTCTTGAGAGAAGGATGGAGAGTGAGGTCTTCAGTGAGAAGTGAAATCAAATTTGTTGGTGATCAAAAGGACAAGAGAGATGCATGTGTTGGAAACAACTGGTGCCAATGAGGTCTCTCGGCTCCTCCCCTAAGCAAATTGCAGTCTTGGTGGAATATCAGCTTCTCAGTCCATCAAATTGCAGTAATCAAGTCTGGAGCTGATCGGAGCATGAGTCACCACTTAATTTGCTCATCAGTGGAGGCCAAGTTTTCAAAATGCTTTTAGATGCATTTCCACAGAGATTTCTGCCAGCCGGTGACCTATAGAGTGACAAGAAAATTAGCAATAGCTGCTGCTGAATCAGCCTGTGCTCCCTGCCACTTACCCTACTGACCACAGTTTTGGGCAGGGAGGGAAGGTAAATCAAAGGCCTTTGGAATTGCTATGCAGAAAAGAGCCCTGCTGAGCTGATCCCAACACCTGGATTTGTTGAGAAACAAAATAACCTGTGAATTTTTAAACTATCTGGTATGTTCAAATGAACCCTGACTGTGTAGCTTGCCCCGCAGAAGCAGGCATGAGATTAGAAATTGGTTGTGATCCCTGCTCAGAGAGGCAGCCAACACCCAGCAGCTGTAGCACACAGAAGAGGCCACACATCTCCTGAGGATCCTGTGCTGGTGCGTATTTATTGCCCACTCTTTACCTGTGTTCTAAATTGCTGTGTGGTGCAACCATTTTTCACCCAGTTAGGAAGAAGGAAAAAAGCCCCTGGGTGGTCTCCTCTGTGAGTGGGCACCATCTAATATAGTAGTCACAAAATCAAAGTCTTGCAGATGTTAGCATGGTGGGGTTGGTTCATCTCTGTAAGAGAAAACTTAATATTTGTGGTCAGTTTTCTTATGAAGCGATTCAAAATTCTAAGGGAAATCAGCTGCCTTGAAAGGGAAGAAAATGGCCTTCCTTCAAGGAAAGACAATTTCATTGATAGGATTAAAAAAATTATAGAGGTCATGTGAGAGCTGGCCTTTTGCCAAAATAAATGCAGGAAATAAAATTTGAGAGTCCTGTGACAATAACTGGGTATGAAATTCTATTGACAAAAGCTTTTGCAGTTCTGTGCTCCTGCTGTTTCTTAGCACCGTGACTGCAGTCCTTCCCTGTTGGTGTTCTTTGTCTGCTGCACTGCCCATCCCCAAGATGTTACAAAATTATTTTATTTCCTGGTGCCTTCCCTGTGTAGTTTTGCCACTTCTTGTCAGCACTGTTTGATGAAACACGTGATAAAATGTCTTTTTACCTATCATCAATCTAAATCCCCCCCACCTTTTTTTTAACTTCTCACAGCTAGCTGTCCCTAACTGAACCTCCTTGTGTCTCACCAAGATGATGCTCTCATCTGCTCTCCGAGCTCTCTTAGAGACTCCATCCTGTAGCCAAGAAACCAGGGAAGCTTTCCAAGATGCTGCTTGGGGAAGCAGAACTCGGCTTTTTGTGCTGACACTGAAGAACAGGAACTTTGCCCATGCAAATTATCGTTCCTGTGTTCTTCGTTAGGACTCGCAGCTCCCGTGGAAGGAAACACCCGCATGCACATGGGCCTGCAGCTCACTGCTGTATCCATTGTAGTCACTGTCAGTCCTTTGGGCAATCCCATACAATTGTTGATACGTTTTGCCAAGTTCTCCAGCAAATTCGTGCTTGTTCCGTTTCACAATATTGTTTTAAATTAGAGACATTTTGGGAGAACCTCTATTTTTATGTATAAAAATTGCAAAAAACAATTTTTTTAATCTATTTTAGGTCACTTTTTGTCTGAAAATTAGCTGTAATTTCCAAATAGTGGCTTAGCACTAAAAAAGATGCATGTACTCTATTTGACTCATACATTCACTCTGCCCCTTCCCCAAATCATACACTCTTTCAGGTACCTCACAGTGAGTTGCCTAAAGCCCTTTTTAGAAAACAGCTACAACATCTGTTTAGGTCCAATTCTCTGATAAATAAAATATATCCCAGAGGCATAATAGCATACTAAAATAAGAGTATGACACAATTTCAGCCAGCTAATATGGTAACTCTCTTTGATGCAGCTCACGGAGTGTTAATGTGAGAAGCCTGTATCTTTCCAGCTCGGCTGTCTGGGAGCATCGCACATGGATCTCTCCCCGAGCCGGAGCCAAATCCCACAGCGGCGTGAGCAGCAGCGTGGGAGCAGTGCCGTGCCACCCTGTGCTCACAAACTCCCCGCTTGCTGGCCTCTCCAAATGTAAAAACGTAGTGGAATTGTGATACGTGAAATTTTGCCCGAGCCAGGGGAACAGAAGAGAAGTGTTGTGGTCTGCGGAGCCTGACTGTTATCATGTTTCTGTTCAGGTAACACGTATTTGTGACATGAAACATTAACATGTAACCTCTCTGATTACAAAGAGCATAAAGAGCTGTGTAGAGCTATACTATCACACATCAATGTTCCCAAATAATCCCATTTTAAGGATCTATTGGGACATTCTTCAAAAAACAAGTAAACTCAAATCTTGCTGGTATCAGTTTTTTGAAAGATTTTTAGATAGTTGTTTTTAAAGTAAGGCGCATAGTACATGTAGAAAAACTCTTTTCCATGTGTATCACAATGTATGTTAAACCATTACTTTCTATGCTCTATAATCTAATATTTTACAAATATTTAGGAATGTATTTTTTATCTAACACTCCACTTCCAATAGCAAACTGCTATTGCTTATCTGCTAACTCTCATCCCATTTGAATTTTTAGCTTTGGTAGATGTAAAAATATACTTCAGTGTATTGCCAGCAGCAGCTTTCTATGTTTAAAAAATAAATTTAATGAGAAATTTCAATATTTTCCAATACTAGTGAAAATAAAAATTAGTCTGTTAAGATGGCACAGTGGTATTCCTTGAAAAGCTGCTGCTTTGGATGTGCTTGGAATTTTTTGTCAGAAGCCCCAGTTTAGGAGTTTATTGTCTTAGTAACAAAATACTAGCTCTGAACAATCCCAGAAGCATAATACATTAGCAGAAGGAAAACAGTATTTATAGCCAATAATTCAGCTGTTATAAATTATGACTGTAAAGAAAGAGAAAAGTGGTCCTTTTTAAAACTTGCAGTCAGATTCTGGTTTCAGCGATGCTGAGTAAGGTAAGTAATGTTCTTTTGATTAACAGTCAAGCCTTGAGTGGTTTTTATTTAAAGAAGACTTTATTAAGCTTTTTTCTCAAATTCATCTTTTTTGTTCTGTTTTGAGCAGACTTCCACCTGAAGAAAACTCTCAATGACTTTTTAGCCTACATTAAATCCCCACTGACAAACAGATGAAAATTATTATTAATTTGCTCGAAAAAGAACTAATAGGCTTTGCCAAATAAATCATGCAGATCACTAAGTATGCTATTCATCTCTTCTGCAGATTATTGCTTAAAAGCCATGATAGTTGTCCTTTAAAAATCAAAAGTCAAATAAGTCCTTTGACTTGAAGTAAAAAATTTGGACTGATGGTTGTCTTGGGCCTGACTATTTTTTGGTTTTTTGCAGTTTGGAAAATGAGAGGGCTGGTGAGCACGGGTTCTTGGTGAGTGTGGATTCTTGGCTTCTAAGAGACTCGACCACACGTGGAGACTGGAGGTAACTGGTGTGTGTTAATGAATGGTTCAGTTATTTATCCCTGACCAGTATTACGGAGAGCCCCAAGTCTTCTGAGAAGCCAGAAACCACCAGCAGAGGTGGAAAGAGCAGAACTCTTTCACATCACCTTTGCCAGTGCGTGTCCATGTGTCTGTCTGTGTGTCACAGTCCAGTGCCCAGTCCAGGTCCTGAAGTATTCAAGTATCTTCCACAGTTTCAGTTCCTTCTGTTTTGAAAGTAGTAGATACTTTGTGCTCCTCTTGTCTTTCAAGAGTACCTTGTAGGTAATTATGTGATATTATTAGCTGTTTGTTGATTTGAGCTTAGTTGGTACAGTCACTTGTGATTCTGCAGCACATGCTTCATCATCTCTTTGGTTTTTTCCTAATTAATTGAAGAGTCTGATCACCCACTTCCAACTAGTTTTTAAGTACCCTCAATTATTTTTTTGTTTGGGAATTGATTTAGAGTGGGAACACGTGTCAGCTAACTGTGAGACATAATACCACAAAGCCGTATGAATTAACAAATACTAATATGTACTTAGCATCTATCCTAGATACCAGTGTTTATACAAACACACAAAGGATGCTGCTACAGGCTGAATTAGAAGCAGCAACAATGTAGTTTATCCAAGTCAATATTTCTCTAGTAAAATTCAGTTCAGCATGAGGCATATATCCCATTCAAACTGTTCAGCATCTTCACCAACAACAGGACTTTCTAGATGACCCTTATGCCAGTAGAAGTTGTGGTTCTACTACTCAATTAACATTCAGCGTGAGGTATTTCTCCAAATGCTTTGACCACATCCTTTTAATTTCTCCTGTTTGTCATTAAAATGACATATTATAAATTCGCCAAGTCATGCAAACCAGCACCATTTTGTTTCGTGGGCACACTGTAAATTTTCACAGGAAAAAATGTGTTTACAAGCACTAGGGCTTTTTTTTAACATTAATTGTTGTTATCTTTCAGTATCTTCCATCCATGAAGTTTAGCTACTTCTTAATATCAAAAATCCAGCTGTACAGGCACCAGAAAACAAACAAACAAACAAAAAAAAGTAGGAGAGAGGAGGAGGGGAGAAATCCGTTTGTGGCCTTTGGTGGTTTTTTTACTCAGAATATTGTACCTTCATAAATGATTAAATGTCTCTTACTTTTAAAATATATTGAGCTCTTATTTTTATGTGGATGGGTATTACAACACCAGAAATTCAACCTCTCACTGAGAAAAAAGGTGATCATAAGAATGGAAATACTATTCAGGCAAGTAAGACCAATGCAAATGCAAACCTTTTGCCAACTCCTTGAAAGAGATCTGAAGAAGTGTAAACACATGGGGCCTACATTTCCCAAAATAAGAAATGGTGACAGATGCTCAGCTGGCGCTGACACATCAGGTAACCATCACTCTGGGAGGACAGGTGCTGTCTGGAAACTATTCATTTTTGAAAAGATTGAAAAAAGAGCACTCAAACACTGAGGTGCCCAAAAATTAATTTGGTTTGCAACTACGGATTTTGCCTCTTTCTCAAGTCTCTCATTCTTTCTTCTTTGTGGCTTTTCTTCCTTGCTCTGTCTGAAACCAGAAAAAAGGGGCTAAAAAACCCAATGGGACTAGAATAATGGGTATATACACATATTAGTTGTATATTTCCTTATCAGTCAGCAGGTTAATTTTTAAATGCTGTTTTGATTACATCTTTTCTTTTCTTTGGTTAGTTGGTTAAAGGTTTTCCAGAGGTTTTTAAAATATACTTTACACACAGCAGAGAGACTGTGAGTGGAAAATGCAACTTTGATTCTGCCCTATTCTTCTGGCCACATACCAAAATGCTTCATTTTGCTCTGGTGAGAGAGGCAGTAGTGAAATGAAAACATGTTTTTCAGTGGAGAAAGCCATAGCTTTATTTCTAGTCCACATCTCCCAGCATTGGATCTTGTTATTTTTTTGGCCTCAGGAAGGCTGAAAGATGGCTGGAGATGGACTTAGAGCTCTGGGTAGCTGGATGGGCATTAAAAATGGCCAAGAATATCCTGGATGATGGAAAGAGAGGATTTTGCACCATATTTTTTGCAAATTTTGCCTAGCTCTGTACTTTCCAGCAGCAGAGTGTGTCTTATGCAGGCAGTCCATTGAAAAGCCTATGACGATTTGCCTTAACTTGCATAGTCTCCAAAATTCAAGCTGTAAATTACATGGAAAGTAGGATGCAACTAAGGTATCAAGAGATTGTGTTGTTTTCCAAGAGCTGTGTTGGAAGGCACACTGAAGCAGCTGGGAAGGGGATCTTTGACATTTTCATACTCTTTATCTTACTGTAGTGAAGAGCAGGGATTGCAAGTGGATTTATTCACGGGGACAATGTTATCAGTCTGTGGGACAGCCCTGCAGACTGAAAACTGCAGTAAGCTGTGGAAATTTCTGAGCTACCTTTAAACAAACAGCTTGGGTATCAGAAGCATCCTGGTGTGGCCACGTAGAGCTCAGTGCAGCCTAATTTCATCTGTTTAATTATGTGCAACAGGCATGGAAAGCAAAGCTAGATTTTGTCAGATATATCTCAATGCTTCTTAATAACGTGCTTTCATCAGTGTTTTGTCTATGCCTTGTTCTTTGTAAGAAGTACTTAGCAGTTGATAGTCCTTCAGAGAGAGTGCTGACTGCAGCTGAGGAGTAATCCTAGAGAGCAGTGAAACAGGTATCTTCCATTTTAGATACTCAGGCCCAAATGCCACATATACATGACTGAATGAACTTATACTCAGGTACTACATGATAGGACAAGTCAGTCAAATTTTCATACTTTAAAGAATAAAAGCAAAATTGTCCATCTTGTCAGTTAATTGATCTGTGCTTTCCTCTGCCCCAGGGCCTGTGGACCCTCATTCTGCAAGCAGCGCTGCCTACAAGAAAGCTGGAGAGGGACTTTTTATAAGGGTGAGTATTGATAAGACTCACCTATGAAGGGGGAATGGCTTTAAAGTGAAAGAGGGTAGGTTTAGATTAAATATTAGAAAGAAATTCTTTACTGTGAGGCACTGGAACAGGTTGCCCAGAGAAGCTGTGGATGCCCCATCCCTGGCATTGTTCGAGGCCAGATTGGACAGGGCTTTGAGCAACCTGCTCTAGTGCAAGGTGTTCCTGCCCATGGCAGGGGGGTTGGAACTGGGTGATCACTAAGGTCCCTTCCGACCAAAACCATTCTATGGTTCTGTGATTCTGTGTTGCTCCTGCTCCCTCCCCCATGCCAGAGGCCGCAGTGCCCAGAACATGGAACAGGCCGCTCTGTGACATCAGCCCCAGGGCCGCGAGCGCTATGGGCACCGCGTTGGTGGCCGCGCTGCTGCGAGGAGCCCTCACTTCTGGCAGCTGATGTGTGCTGCTGGTAACTATGCTTCTGCTCTGCCTCCTCGTCCTGCTGGCCGCCTGCGGGCCTGCACTGGGCACGTGGAACACCTGCGGGTACGGAGCCCTGGGCTATGGGAGGGAGTTT